AGGTCATGGGTTCAAAAATCATGTTTAGAAAGTTCTTGTAGGTAATGTACATGTGAAATATGAAAGCCCTATCTCTTATTATTCAGAAGTTATGACCAAGGTTAAATTTATTGTGACAGACGGACAGACTGACAAACGAACAGACTGACAGACAAATGAGATTTATTGTCCCCTAGGTCCCTTCATGCGAAAACGGATGACAATAATGCCCTTGCTGTTCATGAGAAGAAGATTTATGATGGAAAAAATCCCCTGCATTTTCTATGTAAATCATTGGATCCCCATATGTGGCCCCACCCTACACCAGTGGGTCATAATTTCAACAAATTTGAAGCTACACTAAACTTTTTGGGCCCATTCAGTGAGTCTTGATAAGACTTTTTTAAAATGATACCACCAAATTTTCACTAATTCTTGATTATCCCCTCTTGAAAGAGGGTGTGACCCTTCATTTGAACAAACTTGAATCCCCTTCACCCGAAGATGCTTTGTGGCAGGGTTGGTTGAAATTGGCTCAGCGGTTCTAGTGAAGAAGACAAAAATGTGAAAAGTTTACAGGCCGAGAGATGGATGACAAACAAAATGTGATCAGAAAACCAGAAAAACTCAAGTGAGCTAAAAACTGATGATCACAAGTACTTGGAAAGAGTTACAGTATTTGAAAAGCATTTTTTTTTCATGCATTGTTTTCAGAAGCTGAAAAGGTATGACTTGTATCCATGTTGAAAAAACTTCACATTTCAGAAAACAGTATGATTAAAAATAGTTAATCAAGGTGCTTTGAGTAGCAAAATAAGCTAAACTGGTATAGCTAATTCAACCATAGAGCTTATGAATTTTAAAATGCACAACCTTTTCAACTCTTAATCATTCTTAAAATATTTATATCACCATTTCTGATTCAAGGAAGAACTAGAGATATGACCAGAAGTATATCCGTTCACTAATAAACATGTACATGTATACTGTGTTTTTTAAGTCATTAATATTTGTTTGTTGTTAAATGTCCCTCTCGGGAATTTTTCACTCATATGGAGACACCACCACTTAAAATTAATGAAGACGTACAAGTCGGATTTGAGGTTAACATTCATTTTAGGAGTTTTCAACAATTAAGACGTAAAGGATAACTCCTTCCCCTTGCCCCTTCCCCTTCCCAGACCCCTGTTTGTACATGGTTTGACCCAAATTCATGAATGAAATGTCAAGTAATCTTATCACTGATGCACTTTTATTTAATTTGATGTAGTCATATTATGAACATTTCCAATTTATTAAGAGAGTGGGAATGACCTCCAGGGGTTCATAACCTTAAACCATTAGATGTACATAACATAATAACACAAGAAACAAAATTATGTATAGTCAAATGGAAAAGTTTTCTACTATTTTGGAGTCACATGATCATATGTCATTTCAGGGACAGGGAGCGGCTAGGGAGATTGGACCCCCCCCCTCCCCTCGAATTTGCAGAGTTATTTAAATAGGGCTATATACTGATTTACAGAAGCAAATAAAAAATGAATTTGGATGCCCCCCCCCCCCCTAAAAAAATATGGACCCCACGATCATTGTTTTTATTTTGTTTGTTTGTTTGTTTGTTTGTTTGTTTGTTTTTTTTTTTTTTTTTGCTTCTCAGGAAATTCTGGGCTGGAATTTTTTTTGAGTGAGGTGTGGACCCCCCCCCCCCCCCCCGGAAAAAAAAATTCCTGGATCTGTGCCTGTAACTGAATGTAATGTCGACAACGCGAGATAACTCTTCAGAATGTGAAATTCGTCTACTGTGGCATCCGATGATCCACTCTCTACCATCGGCTCATACATTCAGTGTCTGAGAGAGAAACGAACGACAACTCTGCATGGGAGATTGCCGATGATCTTTGATCCTTTTTAAACTTTAATCTAACCATTTGCATTTCGGTTTATTTTACCCCAATCTATACTTAAACTTGTACTTACCGACTGTCATAGGTCCTGTCAACTTCATGAAATTCAATTAAAACACAAAATGAATTAATTTCCACTGATATATATGTAACACTGCACCATGTGCAATCTAAAAATGATAATGGTAAAACTAGTACTAGTACTGGTAGGGTGACGCAAGCCCAATGTGATGTAGAAATTTTCAAAAAGGTGTTCACATACATGTACAGTACAAGAACAAATTTTAAATTATCATAACAAACGATGTTTTAACATGACTTTGCCATCTAGGCCTTTTTCCAAAAACAGGCAAATTGTGTGTGTGTGTGTTTGGGGGGGGGGGGTGACAAAATTGATTGGGTATGGCTTTTCAAGGAGGTTTTTGCCTAATCAAATACTAAAATAAGTTTGTACATTCATCAAAAACGTTTTGTACTAAAATAATATTATTTGTTGTTGAGAAAATAAATTTAAAAAAATTCCAATTATGGGCCAAAAATTTATATCCCCTCCCCCTTTCATCAAAACCTAATTTACATCATTAATTAAATTCTGTTATTTCAGACTGGTAATGAATTAAGTATATGAAATGCGTATAAGAGGTCCATGGGTCACATTGTCACCTGAGCATTTTATGCTCGATTTGACGAATACATGTACTGTGTAAATTTTAGAATTATTTGGACTTTTTCCTTGGTAAGCCCAATATGAAGGAGTGTGCATTTAGAGGCAAACACCTTTGTGCGGGTATTACTGTCTCATGACAGCATCTAGTTCTTTAATGAATTTAAATAAATCACCGTACTGTGAATTATTATGTCTATCTTTTGCAGTTATCTATCAAATTATATTACTATACAAACATTGTAAATTAAGTGAAAGTTCAGACTTAGTTTTGATTATGGCGACAATACAGAATGTGTAACATCTGCTCTAAGAAATTATCAATATCTGATTTCTCAGGCATGTTTTTTTATGGTTTCTTAATTTTTTCTTATCTATTCAAATTGAAATAAAATACATGTACGTGTAGTTTCCTGATCAAGATAAACAGATTGTTTCTAACATCTTATATGAGTAGAGTTACTTGAAAAAGAAATGTCAAGAAGATATGTATTTTGATTCGATTAACGGGTGAATCGGTCTGAACGTCTTGCGGTTAATCGATTAGCAATTTAATCGATAGCCATCCCTTATATTTATATATAAATGAAAATAAGTCAACCCCTCCCCCCCCCCCCCCCCCAATTTACTCGTCTATCCCGATTTCATATCTCGAGAGATGTTTTAAGTTATACTTATTTCTTTATCATTCATTTTAAATGCATAATGGTTCATCAAGGAGCAAACTTAGGATCTTTGTTTACGTGTAAAATGTATATTGACTGATTCCAAGAGGTACTTAAGTACAAGTTCACTTGAACAGGGTAATAAATATTTATTATTATAACAAAAAAATCCTTCCCTGAATGAAAACAAGATCATGAATGTAGCTTAATACAGATTTATACTGAAAACGTTAAGATGTTTGGTTTTATGTTAGAATGTGCAAATATGGATTATAAGTCATTATACGAGGGGTGATCAAAAAGTTTGCGAACTAATTGAATTGTTTCCTTAAAAGAAATAAAATGAGGTCTCAGTGTTCATTAATCTTTTAAGTAGTCTTCACCGATTTTAATGCACACCTGCCATTGTTTGCCGATGCGCGACTCACGCGATCCAGGCGGTCAGGTGACATGCTCCGTGGCGATCTGTTCACAGAGGCTATGAAATTTTACCGAGTCTTATATTTCTTACCATGAAAGTTATTTTTACAACAGTACCAGACCATCTGTCAGAAATGGCCAAATCTAAGCAATAGGATGGGTGGATAGGGAGATCCATTCCCAAAATTAGCATGGTGACTATCACAACCCGAGTCCTCTGTCTCGGGAGCGTCGTTTATCAAATATGGAAAAAGTATGGGCGCTTTTTTTAAAAATATCTGATATGTTTAAAGTCTAAAGTAAACGATATTTTAGATATTTAATAAATATATTATTGTTCAGATATTCAACTATTTTTCTAATTGTAACTTGGCGATCTTTCAAAACAAATTGCTCAACTAAGGACACATCTTTTTATCGGTATACTTTCGCTGGGCGACAGAACAGACATCATTTTAAACCATCTCCTTGCCTTCATTGAAATAATCAATTCAATGAGTGATTGAACTTCTGGTAAGTCCTTTGTCTTCATCGACCTTGTACAAATTATCATACTGTAAACCAACTATTATTCGCGTCATCTTTTTATTCGCGATTCGTCAGTTTAAAATCAATCCGCGACGATTAATTTTCACGACTGGGGAAAAATTCTCTATAAATACAAAACAAAATGAATGGTTCGCGGCGATTAATATTCGCGAGTTAAAGTAGGTAACGAAACTCGCGAATATTTCTCGTACGCGAATAAAAGTTAGTTTACAGTATTCTACTGGAAAGGAATTTCCCAGATATACGTTAAAACTTAAAGCCGTTCGTTCCTCGAGTACGACTGTGTCAATCATTTTTTGTCACAAGTCACCTACCTATTGACATCATTTTTACTTGTGACTTCACAAACACGAAGCAAAACATTATATAACATCTGCTATTTATAGAAGATGTGTATGACTATATGTTTGCCAAATTTCGTTTTGATCTGAATTGTGGTTTTGTTAATATAGAGATAGTTCGCGAACTTTTTGATCAACCCTCGAAATTAAAAAAAAAATATTAAGAAGGCATGATGTTAGAAAAGCAACAATCAATTATTTTTATTTTTATTTATTTATTTATTTCATGTTTTGTTTTTTTAGGAACCATAAATATCTTTATACATTCCAAAGTTATTGGGAAAAAAAATCAAGAATGGAAAGCGAATATTTATTGACAATGATATAGAAATTCTATCAATATATTTAGGCTATTCAAACATTTTCTCAATAGAAAAATAAAATGAACTTTTTGCTCACTTGACTCTCAATTTGTTACAAACAGGTCTTAAATCTATGTTAAAAACAAACCATAGAAAACAACAATTTATCTTACCTGTAACAAGTTTTTTGGTGTAGCTGTCGTTCTGAGCCAGGAAAGATAACCCCATTGCAGAATTGGCCAAGTATCTGATACATGTCACACTTTCTAAAAGCATCAATGCTTCAAAAAAAGAAACTCTTCGGTTTCCCATTGTATCTACAACGTCCAAAAGAGCATCAAGTCCACCATAATTCATAAATTCATGCGTCCATTCCTCATCCAGTTTTTGTACTTTCTTTTTCAGGGAACCTAGGACTTCTGGAGTAGGGTCTCTTAATAATTGTACGCAGTCCTGAGGATCAAATTGATCAAAACGTATCTGGTAGATTATCCATTTCACTAATGCTCGAAATCTCTCTTTTGGGGTTTTCGATGGAGTATCGTTCTCCATTGCTGGGAGAGATGATTTACTCTTCCGGAAGGAGTTGCTCCTATCAGTCATCCTATCCTCTGAAATGCAAAAGACAAACTCCTTTCCTTTTAATAACTTGGAATTTTGCTTCACTAAGTACTCTTTCCTATAAGAATAAGTCTTGTTTACAACATACTTGACATCCACTCAATATCCGTCAAGCTTCAGATCAAAATATATTTCCAAGAATTCCATACCTGTTTGAAATTTTATACAATATTAATTCAAAATTCGAGTTGGATTTCCTATAATATATGAGTTGTGTGTGTGTATTTTTGAATGCTTAATTGGATACAGCAATCATATGTCCTTATGAAAATGTTTCAATATTTATGTCCACTTCTTACTTCAGTATCATAAGCATCTTCAATTAGAAAGCGGAAACCAACGTTTATTATTCAGAAAAATCTAATATTTCTCAGTATAACAGATTTACATTTTTTTTCTTCCTTATCGGAAGTTTTTTCTCTGTGATAATTCTATCTTGAATAACAAAAAAAAAAAAAAAAAAAAAAAAAAAAACAAAAAACAAAACAAAAACAAAAAAAACAAAAAAAACAAAAAAAAAAAAAAAAAAACAAAAAAAAAAAAAACAAAACAAAACAAAACAAAACGTCAATTTCTTGGTTAATAGAAAACTCTTTTAGCACGTCGTACAACCGTCATGTTTATAACGTTTTATATCTTTGTTTTAATCCCCATGCCCTTTACGTCCAAGACCATAATCATCCCTGTATTCTAATTTTCTCAGGGAATTCATAAATATTCTTATCTCGGTAGAGTATTAGACTATCATTCTGCATGTAAGGGAAAAACATATCATTTGAAGCATTTGCTCAACGGAAGCTTGAAGAAAATTTAACATACCTTAAAGAAGGTAATTCTGTAAAGCAACCTATAAGTAACAGCTTACACATTATTCATGTCCAAACTTCTATAAGCTGCCTTTAAATCATACGTTATCTTCCAGATACTTTTAGGAAAATTGTCTACAGCCCCTTACACATCTTCCAGCCACATTTTGCTACCTTTAGGTCAAGTCAAATTTCAGTTCCGGATTTTCTATCACTGACGGGAAATCAATATTTCATCAAGGTTCTTCATAAGGGATTTTACCATTACGGCCTGCAACAGTTAAATAGTGGCCCGCCATAGTTAAATCTATATGGGACATTGTTCAACGAGCGGCCGCCAAGATTTGTTTTTCTGTTGCATTACATTGTTGACACCAGTAGTTTAATAATTTGAGTAGTTAATTGTGTTAATACAGCGTGGCTGCATCTCCCTCCAAACGGGGAGATGGATACTATGTTGAATAAATACAAGGTTGAAACTATAAATACTAGAAAACATTGATGTAACCATCAATTGTCGCCCGGGAAATAAATAAAGTAAACAATGGAAATGAGTCTTTATCATCAAACCGCTTCGATATGTGTGAAAAAGGCATGCGTCTAAATGATGGAGACGATAGTCGAGAATATTTTGAAAACTTATAGTCGGATGAAAATCGAACAAAAACGATACCCTTTTAAACTTTATCAATTCCTCAAGTAAATGTTGGCTGCATAAAATATAATTTGAAACCAGACACATGCATCACCTATTTTCAAAAATATCTTTCACTTTAAGAATATAAAACACGAACTGTGTAAAGTACATTTTTACGTTTTTATGCGATAAGTAAAATTCGATGTTCTAAAAAAAGGGACCTGTCGTTTTTTCGATAGTAAATGATAAGCAACTTTATATATTAATTATGAAAAACATATATATTTTTACAGATTCACTTTATGGAAGTAAATATATTGTGTATCTCGTAATTTATAAAGGGAAAGAACATTCTGATTAACAATCTTTTTAATGTTTAGAAAACCTTTAATTCTGAATAACTTCTCCCACCTCGATCCCCATATATCAACACTTAAACTTATATGTATAGAGCAGCCCGTTCCTCCGGGCTGCAATGATTTATCTAGGGGCAAATTGTGTTGAGTGAAGCATGAAGAATAATAGGTTAATCAACTAATGCACACGATATCACTCAAAGTTTTTTTTTCCTTTATTTTCCAAGACCTGGTACTGCATTTATTTTGCGTAAATGTATCAAATACTTTACAGAGGATTTACCAAAAAAAATCTTTGACAACGTGGCGCAGTGGAAAGAGCGTTTGGTCTGGAGACGAGGAGTAAGGAGTTGATTTCTACGTCGCGGGTTTGAATCTCCCTGCGTGACAAGGAAACGGTCTTTTGGGTTAGACCGTATAAACCGAGGTCTCGTGTCGATGCAGGTGCTGGCACTAAAAAGATCCCTCGTTGCTCAATGGCCCTGATTGCAGAGTATAGGTCTTGATTTTGTGGCCCTCCGCCGGCAAGTCTTGTCGTCTCAATATGAGTGAAAAATTCTCCCGAAAGGGACATTAAACAAATAAACATACACAAAAAATTAATCCACAATTTCTAGTAATTGACACGCACCCAAGCAAGGCCCAGTCTTCATAAGTCTAAGTTAACATGTTTAAAGCTAGACAAAATTTATCTCATCTCTGCATAGCCCACCAAAAGTGCCCCACCCAAATGTTCTGGGTTTTTTTTTTTTTTTTTTTTTTTTGCTTTCGTTTTTTTTTTATTTGTTTAGTCTGTTTGCTTTTTTTTTTTTGCTACAACATGTGTATATGTACATATCCCATCATCCATGAAAAGCGTACACTTAATCGAAGTTAAAAAAGAATCACGGTGCTATATTTCGCATTTTTTTTTATCAATATCTCTTGGAAAAATAAACATTTACGGAGGAAAAAACTGTGAGAACTGCAAGGTAAAAAGAAATGAAGAAGGTAGAAGAAAGATAGAAAATACTGTTGTGAATATTGTATTTATACAAACATATAATAAATACATTATGACGAAAAAAAAGCTTATGTAATATCGTTCGCCTGTTTGTATGTAAACAATTTTTCCTCCTACGGTTTTCAATAAAGTATTATATGTATGCAGACCTCATATCTCAGTAGACCTCATAATTCTGTTTTTTTTTTATTTTTAGGTGTTGCATTGGTTATATTATTAGAAAAAAATATGTGAAATATTTCAACAACGATAATTTTCTTATATTATTTGTTAAAATTCAGTTGAATTTGGTTTAAATGAATACGAAATTATGTATTTTTTTTCCCGAAAATAGTTGGCATGTAGACACTTCTGTAAATTAAGCATCTGATGAAGTGAAACCTGGAGGTTTGAACACGCATTTGCACTTTCAAATTTCCTAGGCCTCCTCTATGGTTAAATGTTGAGATATGGAGAAACTCTGTTTTCTAAATGTTATCAATTTTATTTTCATTTACAGAGCCCCTTTCTGAAGTTTACCTGTAATGAACCCTTAACTTAGAAATTGATTGTATTGGTCAGTAATTGACTCTCGTGTTGTATTTAAATATTTGCAATGCTGACCAACCAGCGAGGTCTGCGTTCTCATGTTTTACTTCACATACCTTGTGTATTCTGTTTTTTAAAGGTAACAATCCCCCCCCCCCTCCAAAAACAAAATAAGTGGTTCCCTTATGTGTTTTGTTCTAGGGAACAACTAGACCAAATACCCACCTAGAGACCTTTTACAAAAATCTGTTTTGAAACATGTGGGTCTTCATATTACCACACGCTTTCTACACCGTGAGTAATTGATTGATGGATTATGTGTATGTTGTTTAACGTACCAGTCGAGAACGTTTCACTCATATAGAGATGTCACCACATATCGGCTTAGGATCTGAAATTTAAACTTCAGTTGGCACTCAGGGCAATTCTTTATCGCACCTTCCGCCTATTGTGATATGGGTCCTCGTTTTTTTTTTTTTTAGGTTTTATCCCAAGACCCACAAACCTTGATCACAAAGCGGGCGCTCTACCGACCATCCACCATGACCCATATAGGGACATTGTAAGTTATACTTATTTTAAATATTTCGTTTGAATATGTTGTGACATTCTTTAAATTTATATAACTATGCATAAAAATTGTAAAAAAAATCTTTTGTCTGAATGAACAGAACATAGATCTGTCTTGAGAATGACACATTTTAACCATCTTAAGAGGAACGATCGTTTCAGTGAACACTGCCTTCCGCAGTTGAAGTTATTGCTTAACACCTGAAGCTTCATGATACATCCGTCTTATTGAAACAGTTCTCGCATAATTGTCACATATTATGTTATTGCTAATGTAACATTATGTTGTCCGGGCCATGTATCAATATTTATCTTCCCTTCGATAGTTCATTGCCATCTTGATCTTCTTAGAATGATGTTTTTCGGATATCAATTTTTCTGAAAACTCGTTAAAGAGAGCGAAAATAGTTTTCATAATTTCAATAAATACTCATTCTCCCTTTTCTGCAAATTAAAACAACTATGATTTGAAGACTTTTAATTCCTTCAATTTTAAGCTTACACATATGAGTAATTTTTATTTAAAATGATTAAAAATTGTACTCTTATATTTTTAAAACTTAAAACATTCAAATCAATAGAGGAAATTTTACGATAAAAATGAGAAACAATTTTTTTTAACAATTTATTTTCAGAATATCGCCTCGCCTTTATGCAGAATAGAAAAAAAGAGATATATATATATATATATATATATATATATATATATATATATATATATATATATATATATATATATATATATATATATATATACATATATATATATATATATATATATATATATATATATATATTGGCAGTAAAGATTTTATTTAACTTGGACTGTAGCATTCTGTTTTCTTTATTTAAGTATTTTTACTGTACCAAGAATTTAACTTATCAACGTATATATATATATATATATATATATATATATATATATATATATATATATATATATATATATATATATATATATATATATATATACATGTATATATATATATATATATATATATATATATATATATATATATATATATATATATATATATATACGAGGGCTGTTCGGAAATTATTGAGACATTGTGTATATTCTT